TCTCAATCTGAAGTAGCAAAGAATTAATAAGTTTTCTTAAAACATGGATGGATCGGCATGGATCCGGTGGCGCAGAGAACTCTAAATGCCCGCGAGACGGAAGCTCATGCTCCTGTTCACCTCCGCGGAGTCGAAGCAGACGGCAACCTTTAAGAGTGTCCCTAAAATCTTATCTTCCGAAATGACTAGCCATTTACAAGGATTTGAAGATTTTTCTCCAGCCCCGAAACCACCTTCACTTCTACTCTCACAATCTGCCAGTAGATGCCAAAAATGATTGCCTCTCCCCTTAAAAACAGCCCCCACCCACGCTTCTCTCAGCTACAAGAAACGGCCCTGACCCGCTTTAGCCACCAGTTTAATTCGTAGAAAGTAGCTAACTCTTGACATCACCTCCGTAGCCCACCCGAGGACCCCAGCCCAGGACACTTCATTATGAGGCTGTTTTTCCGAGCGCTACATCTTGAGACGTAAGGGAAGGTTTTTTTGAGGCATCCTGGTAGGTTTCCGGGCTTCCAATTCCCTCCCCCGCTTAGCTGGTAATTTTCTGCTGCTGCTCCTCCCCCTCCTCTTGACCTCCTCCAAGGTACCTTCTCCTTCCCTCCCCCACTCGTTGCCAGTAAACCTTCAGCGTGCATTGGAAAGCAATCCTTCGGCGCTAAATTCAGAGCTGCCCGTTGGACAGGATTGTAGCAGGGGAAAGGGTGTCACCTCTTTCAGAAAGAATGTCATTTGATCAACCACACTTGACTTAACTTGCTCCGGGTTTCCCGAGATCTCGGGTGGGCCCGTGGGTGTTTTTCTAGATTCAGTGCAAATGTAACCGCCTAGGACTTGAGATAAAGCTGTTTCGCCCATCAGGACTCCAGTTACCCCCGCGAGAATCCGATACATTTAATGAAGGCTTTGCCAGAGGTAGGGTTCAGAGCGTCCTTGGGTCAGAAGCTCTTAGTCAGCACATTGCGCTCACTGGCTCCAACCTGGGCTCCACGCCGAACTCCCGTCCAGTTAAAAATTGCCTGTTCCTAGTCACATAGGGCTTCAAAAAGAGAGAAGAAAAAAAAACTTTAAAAAAAGGAAAAGAGTTTAATTTGACACGACCAGTGCTTTTGTGTAATTGTAATAAATACTTCCAAAAGCAAAACTTTAAAGGGGCAAATTTCTGTCCTCGCTTGGTCGAAGTTCTAACGGCAGAGAGATGGGAGCCTCGCATTCTCAAGACTGATCTGAGGTTTGTGGCTTCGCCGCTGCCGGGAGCGTGGAATTCTATCTCGGCTGGGAACCGAGCAGCAGACCGCACATGAACGCTGCCTCCTGGGCTGCCGTCTGCCAGTAAAGAATAGCAGGTCCGCTGGTGACAGACTCAACTACCGAACTCAGGCTGGGAAGCAAGCTCTCGGTGCACAAGAAAATTCTTGCTAATTCACCCAGATTGTTTTAACTGGTTAAGAAAGCAGTTGACACTCAACAAAACCACAATCACAGCAGGAGTCCTCGGCAATAAAATAAAAATCACAACTAAAGGTTTGTTGTTGTTGTTAACAACTGCCTTTATTATTATCATTGCTTAGTATTGTTGGGAAAAAAAAGTAAAAGGAGAGAAAAAAAGAGACAGTCGTTTCGTACGCAATGGTACATAAAGAAATCCCTTCCACATTTTCTCTGAAATCAGAGCACAGATTCTGTTGATTCATCCTCATTATGCCACCACCGGCAACTGGAAGAGAGGAAATCAACTCTAACCATTCACACCCCGTTCTGTTCTGGGTGGAATACAAATAGTTAATCCTAACTCGCTTTATCTGCATATAATTTTATCTGACCCTTGGACATGATTTAAGATACTGATGGTTTATGTAACCTTATTCTACATGATTAGACTACACAGGAAAAGTAAAAAACAAAAAGTATAAATGGGATAAATACACACATATTCCATACCTATTCTCCAAGATGAATAAAATATGGCCGTGTTTCATTTTGCCCCCATATTACATATTTTTGGATATCAGAAGATATAAATCCTTCAGTTATATTTTTTTCTGTCTGAACATCTTACTCGTGGAAATTTGCATTCCAATAATTATTCTCAAACCTGTTTCTGATGTGGACTAAAGAAAACACCTCCATGGGAATAAGTTTCCAAACAAATCCATAGTTCCAGAAAAGCTGATCAAAGCCCTCTTTCCTTCACAATCTAGATTCATTAAGGAGGAAAAAGCTTTCTCCCTTATTGTACGTAATTTCTCAATGAACCAATCTAAAATCCACTTGTACCTGCCAGAAGTTGTTGGGGAATAAATAAATCCTAAATATGTAATGCTACTTGTCAACTGCAATTAAAACCTATTTAGATATTTGAAACATAGCTTGAGAACATGATACTTGTTCAGGAATCTGTATCTGGCATTAAGTTTTGATGTGGTATGTTTTAAGTTTTCATCAGAGAAAGAAAGCAACAATACACAAAGCAAAGGCATAAGAGCCCACCAGGAATTTTAGGTGTAAAAGTGGCATTTTGAAAGGTGTGTACAAGTGCATGTGAGCAGATGCTACAGACTCAAGAGGAACTTACTAAATCTTAGCAGCCCTTTTATTCAGACACTAAAATATATTGGGGTGACCTGGAGGTAATGGGAACTATACTTAATAACTATTCATATTTGTCTTTTTTATCTCAAGAGTAGAGGAGCTCACAACAGGGATGCACACAACTGCTGTTTTTAAGGATCTATTTTTGACCTAACAGAATATACAAAGGTCAAAATTGAGTCCATTTTTGACAAGACAGGGTCTAATCCCCACTTCGAACACAAGAGGTCGCTCCTGTGATCAAATACTGGGGGGAAATACTGCTTATTACAGTTTGATGTATTCTATTAGAACGGTACAATTTTTTTACAGATATATTTGATGCATTAAACACATATATAGAAATCACTTAAAGAAACAAGGGAATAATCTGTTATCATATCTGAACTTCAAGGTGAAGTGAAACAATAATGCCTGCTATCATAACTTTGATTTTAATGCAAAATGTATTAGCAACAGATACATCTAACTCCAGAGCACATCTATCACAGAACAACATAATTATTGGGTTCCCTCAAATTTTTCCCTTTGACAGAGGGTATCTTCTGCATGATCTTGACTTTCATTGGCTCAGGAACTTAAGAAAATACTTGTTTACAGTAAGTGTGGGCTGAAGAAAGAAAAATCTGTCTTCACCATTATGATGAAACTGTCTATTAGTAATAGTTTTTCTCTAAGCCACATACCGGCTTTTCTATTTGGAATTTCTAACATCATTGCCAATATTTCTTTAGAATAGCTTATTAGTTTAGGGAGTTAAAATACCACAGTGTGTGTGGCTGGTTTGCAGGAGGATGTACAGTGAGGGTGCTTTCTGGTTCTCAAATATGTCATCAGGCTTCTGGCAGCTTTCGTTGTTTAAAACCAGGTTATAAAGGTGGCATGATGGAATATGATTGGTTAAAATTCTCTATTTACTTTCTGGCTATATAGTACCTTTAAAAAAAAAAACTAGAGTCAACTTGGTTATCTGTACAGTAAACATGCCCGTATACTGGGAAGATCCGCTTTGTATTATCATCATTAGTTTTACAAAAGCAGCCTGACAAAAGGCTCCATGCATATAATCCCAGAGACTAGAAACTATGACCAAAACCCGAAAACAAAAACACACCCTCTCCAAAATCTGGTAAATGTATCAACCTATGTCCGTCTAACTTTCGATTTCACACACGCACTGATACAATTCGTCATCAAAATAGAAGGGATGAGAGATCCAGTAGAAATTTTCCCTAGAAAAAAACAAAACAAAACAAATGGATGTTCTTGGTAAAGCCCCAGCCGGACAAGGAGGAAAATTTACGCATCTGAGCTTCTCTCTGCGCTCTGGAGAAGCAGACCCCTGTAAACCGAGCCACCGAGGCCGGTTGAGGGTTCACAGCTCTTCTCAAGGGCTAGATCTGGCAAAAGATACAGTTTCCTAACACACCGGGTTTTCTCAAGGCAACGGGAGACCGAAATTAAACATGCTGCTGCGTGGGTTTGCGGGCCTCTTTAGATAAAATTGGCAGTCACATTAGATAAGGAATAGAGATTTAGAAACTTCTGGAGAAGTGCGGGAGGTTCTTCCTGTGACTTTGTTTTTGGAAGACAATAAGCTATAAGGGGAACATGGAAGAAATTATTGAAAGGAGTTACCGATGAGTTGGAGCCAACATTCTCCTCTCTCCAGGTTGTTTCCCGAGAGAAAATGATCTGATAAACACACTCGGTTAAGTGCAATAGTTATTTCTCTGTTCTTGTGTGTTAGACCCCTCCCTACTCACGCCCTGTGACTGACGCATTCTTAAAATCACTAGAGAGACGTGGAGACTTGTCCTTACCATTATCAAACACCACCAGTTAACTGCACACGTTTGCTTAAAAACAAAGAGCAGGAGGCGAGCAGAGATGAACTGGACAGGCTATACTCGCTCTGCAAACTTTATAAACGACCTGAAAACCACTCCGCACTTAGGCTTCGGGTTAGTCCTAATTCTAGAGTTAAACTGCAAAGCCGACCTCGCGGGTTGGAAGAAGAGAGTAGCCCACGGAGTCAACTTGGTTTTACCTTTGCGCTTCCAACCTGATTCTCCGCTTAGGCAAAAAGCGCCCCTCTCTTCCCCTACCCCACGCTTTTGGAGATCTGAGATCGGGGGGGGGGGGTAACCGAGGAGTCAGGTAGCAGCAGCGAACAATTCTCTGGGTCTATTCATCCCATTACCGGTTCTTCTTCCCCTAAGGCCCAGAGCGCCACGCGCAGCCAGTTCGGGAACTCACCCGCCCCGGCAGCCAAGCCCCGCAGGGCCCAGAGTTGTGCGCCAGAGCGCGAGTCAAACCGAGCCAAACGGCCTATTCCAAGTCACCCCTTTTCCTAAAGCCCGGGAGGGACTTCGTCATCAGGAAGACCTACCCACCAGCCACTCGCCACCGGCGGCGAAAAAGTGAGCCCCGCGCACAACACGGCCAGCCGGACTGCGGGGACCCCAGGAGCGCAGGGCGGAGGAGCAGCGCGACAGGAGGCGAAAGCGCTGGAGGCGCGGCCGGGAAGGAGCAAGGGAGGGGGCAGGAGGAGAGGGAGGCCAAAAGCCAGAGCAGCCCGGCAGCCCGAGCTTCGGGGGGAGAGCTGCCAGAGCCCCGAGCAAGCTGCCTCGGGAGCCCTAATCCTCTCCCGCGGGCTCGCCGAGCGGTCAGTGGCGCACGGCAGCAGCGAGGCTGAAATATGATAATCAGAACAGCTGCGCCGCGCGCCGGGCAGCCAATGGGCGCGGCGCTCGCCTGACGTCCCCGCGCGCTGCGTCAGACCAATGGCGATGGAGCTGAGTTGGAGCAGAGAAGTTTGAGTAAGAGATAAGGAAGAGAGGTGCCCGAGCCGCGCCGAGTCCGCCGCCGCCGCAGCGCCTCCGCTCCGCCAACTCCGCCGGCTTAAATTGGACTCCCTGATCCGCGAGGGCGCGGCGCAGCCGGGCAGCGGCTCCCTCAGCCTTGGCAACCCCAGGGGCTACTGTTTCCCACTTAGCCACAGCTCCAGCATCCTCTCTGTGGGCTGTTTACCAACTGTACAACCACCATTTCACTGTGGACATTACTCCCTCTTACAGATATGGGAGACATGGGAGATCCACCAAAAAGTAAGAGGCTGTTTTACCTTGTGGGGCTCGGTGTGCTGTTCTTGTGTGGGGTCTCTCTCAGGCACGGGTGCCAAGGGCTCTTCGGAATTGGAGTCATTGCTTGGAGAGAGAGAGAGAAGGTGGCTTTTTCTTGTTGCCGCCACGCCTGCATGCTTGCTGTTGGTTCTGATCTTCGGGGAACTGATCGTACCTTGTGTTTGAATTCGCCTGTGTGCCCTCCAGAACCCTAGCCTTCTGGTGCTAAGCGGTGGTTTCCTCCTCTGGAATCCTGAGCTCTCCGAGAAGGTTATTCTGTTGCAAAGGTCTGCCTGCACGTACAATACCCGGAGATGTGAATTAGCATTAGACTTGCCAAAGAGAACGAGTGACAACTGTATTGATGCCTGCTCTTGCTAACAATATCCAGTCCTATGTGCTATTTAAGAGCGTGCTTCATGGAAAATACAGACATCCCTGCGTTCACTTAACGCTTCTAGTCAAAACCTTTTCTTTGACTTGACTTATCCATAATCTTTCCCAATGATTATGGCAAAGAGGGAGGAGGGAGCAAAAAGAAACACAAAATGAACGGGTTTGATTGCGTGCTAGGCTTACAAATGCAGACTATTCAAATCTGCATTTTACATATATTCCACCTCCTTTTTAAAATGAGTCAAGGTTTTGATGGCACACTTCAATTACCATCCCAAAGTGCAATACTCAAAAAAAAAAAAAGAACAGAAAAAGAAAAGAAAAACTCCCAGAGTACGCCCTATAAGAGAACGACACTAAAAGTGTGTTTATCTCTGTAGGAAGTAAACGGTTAGTCAATCATGTATTTATTTTCATTTCAGAAAAACGTCTGATTTCCCTGTGTGTTGGTTGCGGCAATCAAATTCACGATCAGTATATTCTGAGGGTTTCTCCGGATTTGGAATGGCATGCGGCATGTTTGAAATGTGCGGAGTGTAATCAGTATTTGGACGAGAGCTGTACGTGCTTTGTTAGAGATGGGAAAACCTACTGTAAAAGAGATTATATCAGGTATGCTATTTATACTGCTTCTTTAATTTTGTGAGATTTCCTTGCCTCTTCCCACTCCTTATTTATTATTTGGTTTGGCTTTGTCCTTTCTCGAAGTTTCCCTTAATGGGGTCCAGCGTGCAAAAGTTACCCTGTAAGTGTAATATATAAATTACACTATGCTGTTCATTTCACTTTTTAGGGGGAAAAACCCCCGTGAAACTGGATAGTGGTTTTCATAAATTATGCGATATTGAAGCTTGTTTAATTGCTCGTGGAATTTGTGATGCTCAAATTATTTTCCTGTTACCCCCCTTCCAAAACAAACAAAAAATTCATGATGAATAAGTTGGGGTTTCTAAAAAAAAAAGTTGCTTGGTTTTTATTGTATCATACAGTGTTTTTTCTTTTTTATATATTTTAATTCAATATTTTATTAGTAACTTCCAGATTCTTTGGAGATGTCAATGCAATAGACAAAATAAAAGTTTGACCGAAACATGTTTTTGAGATGTACTTTGAAAGAGCAAATAGATATATTGCTCTTTTATTTTTAGGGTATGGGTGCCTTCCTGAAAAATTTCAAAACCAATCCAAATATTCTCTGCAAAAAAGACCGGAAATTTAATCTTTTTAAATATTAACCCTTTGGTGACATCTGACTGTCTTTTCTTTCTTATCTTATCTGAGCTGATGAATTAGAGCAGATCAAATTGCCCATCATCTGTCTACGAACAATTGGTATATTTAGATAATTGAACAGCTTCCTTTCTCACATTAAAATCTGGTAACTGATAAAATGAGCGAATTGCCCATACTGACAAGAATAAAACCACATAATGAACTTTCTGAATTTTTTTCCCTTTCAGTTAATTCTGCGTCTAAACTTCAGGCTTTGCCAATCTCAAATTTTCTCTGACCTGTGTATACATATGTCAGAAACTTCATTTTCTGCTTTAGGAAGTTGGTAGAATTTCTAAAGAAAATATTGTTTTAATAACAAAACAGGAGATAACACCTTGGTTATTCTGTTAAATGCTATCTAAATATTGTATTTAAAATAAATTCTGCAGTGGCTATTAACAAGTAATTAGGTTTGTAAGTCATAGCGTTTATGGAGCTGAAAACTTACATTTAAGTTTAGTCAGGATTTACAGTTTTTGCAGTTACATTTTTTTCCTGCTCACTTGGTGTCAGTATTTTTTCCTTATTTTAAAGCAATAAAGTGGCGAGTATAATTTTGATACATAAAGCTGAACAGTGCAGGGGAAACAAAGTTTATTAATAGTTTGATGGGGAGGAGTGGGAGGAAAGAGGGGAAGTCGGGTACTGGAGGAAGGGGGAGGGATTTTCCAAATTGTTTGGTCACCGCAAGGTAAAAGCCCTCATCCTATGGAATGGAAGATCTCACACAGAGTAGGCGGAGGGAGGGAAAACTTTTGAATCTACCTTCTAACCTCTGACAAATGAGCCGTTTTCTTTGTTTACTTGATTGGTGTGTGAACTCGAGATTCTGGAGAGGGAGAGCTCACTTGGCAACTACAGAAGTGTCTTTACTCCTATGGAGATAGTGTTTTGCCCAGTTGTATTCAGACCTGCATGTGCCTAATTCTGGACACATGTTTGTGGAAGAAGCCGATTGCTTTTACCTTTTCCTCTCCACTCTTTCAACTCTGTGTGTGAGGGTGTGTGCAAGTGTGTATGTCTCTTTGAAATCCTGTAGTTGTAAAAGCAGAACAGAGAGACCATTTAGATTTCCGAATGCCTTTCTCCCCCTGGGGGAGCGAGGTACCCCCCCTTACCCCTCTTTGTGTGGATCTTTTCCTCTCCTCCATTCTCTCTCTTTGTAGGAGTGCCCCCCACCCCATTCTCTTATTACTGATAATGTGGAGAGGGGTCCAGGGCAGAGCTGCCCAGATGAAACCTACAAGAATTGTCTCTTGCTAAGGAAAAGTCAGCAGGGAGGAAGGCCTTAGAAGTGGGTCTTTTCATTTTTCTGGCTGGTCAGGGTTCTCAAACAAACTGAAATAGAGGTAGAGGCTTCAGCAACTTGAAAAAGATTGAAGGAACAGAAGCAGATTTTTTTAATAATAAAAGGAAGAATGGAGAGGAAACTTTCTGTTAGTTCTGTTGCCTGAGGAAGAATCTGTAGTTGGGGAAAAACTGCTATAGGCTTGTTGTGCAGAAAGGGCTCTGGAAACCCTCAGAGGTTTCATTTTGCTATTCTGCCTGTGCATTTGTGTGTGTTTGCAGACTGAGTGGGGTGACAATCTCATCCCCAACCTCATTTTCTTTTGGAAGGAGGATTTTTTATAGCAGCTTTAGAGACATTTCTAGCAGCAGAAGTTAGGGGATAGGGAGGCGAAAATGTAAGGCCAGTGGCTCCCGGAGTCCCCTTGGACGCCTTCCTGCCAAGAGCGGCAAGGGCCACCCTGGGAATGGTCGTTAGAGCAGCAGCCCAAGCTTCCAATACATCAAGCATTTTTCTTTGGTTTGGACTGGGCTTTCTCAGCCGAGATGTACGGACAGAGACACAGGATCACAGGAAAGGGAAAGGGAGCGGGGAAAGAGGAAATCTAATCATTTCTACCCTCCCACTCCCAGCTTGTCTGCTAATGCAGATTTCAGTGTCTAAGGGCGTTGTGGCCGGGGTCGCTGGCGACCTTGAAACGGGGGCAGTATTGGCCTGAAGTGAACCCCTCCTCTGCTTCTCTCCCCCCCGGGGCCGCCTCCCCCCGCGCAGGTTGTACGGAATCAAATGCGCCAAATGCAGCATCGGCTTCAGCAAGAACGACTTCGTGATGCGCGCCCGCTCCAAGGTGTACCACATCGAGTGTTTCCGCTGCGTGGCCTGCAGCCGCCAGCTCATCCCCGGGGACGAGTTCGCGCTGCGGGAGGACGGGCTCTTCTGCCGCGCAGACCACGACGTGGTGGAGAGGGCCAGCCTGGGCGCCGGGGACCCGCTCAGCCCACTGCACCCCGCGCGGCCGCTGCAAATGGCAGGTACTCCTCGGCGCAGAGGGAGGCCCTCTCGGGGAGGCAGGCGCCAGGAGAGGCCAGCGCCGCCCCTGCCAGCGCCCCGGCGGCCGCGGCAATCCTGGGAGCCACAGGGCGGTCGCTGCGGCCGGCAGTGAAATGAAGGGTTCTGGGTGCGGTTCGCACCACACTTCACCCTTTTGCCCCAGGTTCAGCGCACCCACTTCCTCCCTTGACTCCCCCAGCACACCTTACACGCCTGTGCGTCTGTCTATATACATGGGTGCCCATGAATGTACACCACTTGTGCACACATGTGTGCACACGCCCAAACAGTACTTCCAGTTCACCTTGGCCTCCAAACCGCGGATTACTGAAAACGGGCTTCAGCTCCCCGCCAGGTATTCTCTCCGCCGCCGCCTAATTAAAGGGGTGGAGCTCTGGGCCCTTGGAGCTTCCTCCTTTTAACCCAATGAAGGAAGCTTAGATAGCCTCAAGTTACTTAGCCTCTCATTAAGGCTTTTTGCCTTGCGGACTGCCCCACACTCCAAAACATTTTTAAAATTTATTTTTATCCCTTTGAGAGAGAATGGACCTGAAAAGATAGTTTTAATAATTGCAGGCCATTGCACAGAGCTGTAATTTAAAACTGTCAACAAGCTAATCTGCAGTAATTGCCTTTTAAAGGGAGCCTGCCTCTTTAAACAGTTCATTCTACGTAATTTGGTGAGAATTTCATCTTTGGGCCTGTAGCTGTGACACTAAATTGACCCCATAGGTGTTGACCTGACCCTAGAGGTCCTGGAAGGTGCAGGATTTGTAACATACACATCCGAGGGCCCTTGCGCCAGGAAGGAGAGTAGATATAAAGCAAGGTTGGTCAGGAGGGGGCCACGGGTAAGAAGGCAGACAATGTTTCCAAACCTGCCTTCCGGCCATGAATAGATCTGCCCCTCCTCCCCCACCATCCCACCCAACACCGTGTGTTTTTAAACTTATCAATTCGCACTAAACCCTAGCAGTGAGAAAACTACAGCTCTTCCCCTTGTTTTCTGGCAGCTCTAAGAATTCTGTCCTGGGGCATTTATGACTTGGCTTGCAGGCGGGCAAAGTCAGAGGTGGCAACTTCTGTTACGTACAACCTGTGCTCTGCTTGTGGGGAAACACAGAAGAGGCCAAAGTACTGGAATGGAGTCAGCAGCCAGGACTCCGCAGCTGACGTTTATCTAAAGGCCAGGCAGCTCCACAGAGTTTCGGTTTTCCTTTGCTTGGGATCAGCTCTTCTCAGGAACATCCAGGTAGATTTAGTAGATCCAGGTAGACTGAGAAAGATCGAGGACTGGAGAGATGACCGAAATACCGAATTTCTTTACCCCCTTGACGTAACTGTTCTTTGGGGACTGAAGTTCAAGGCTCTCTGACTGAATTCTTCTGGGCCTTCTTACTGCAGACATCCCGGCAGAGGCCGGGGTAGTGTCCTTGGCTGTCACTGGGATGTTCTGCGTTTCCTTCCCCAGTACCGCCTGTGACCTTCACTCAAGGGTCTGGAGGTTTGTGGTAGGGGTATTTGGTGTAACCTGGCGCGAGGAAAGACGAGGAGGGAGGAGAAACAAGGCTGAAAGATGCCGCCCCTGGTGCGAGCAAGGTGACAGACCCTGAGACCTGCGCCCCTTTGCTAACGCTGTCGTGTTGACACGAGCAGGGGCGGAGGCTGCTTGCTTTCCGGGTCCGGATTACTCAGCATTGACCTCTGAGATTAGAGAGCGAGGTTTTATTCCCTTTCGCGTCCCTCACCCCCAGCTCTGCCAGCCCTGCTTTGTCTGTCGAGGCTGCAAAGCACCGGCCATTGTCGCGGCGCGGGCGGGCGGGC